CCGGGCCATACAGAGAGCTGGCCTGGAAGAGGGGCAACCGGGACAGAATCTGGCGCCCCGACTGGGACTAGAACCCGGTGTGCCGGCGCTGCAAGGCAGAGGATTAGCCTAGTGAGCCGCGGCGCTGGCCGAGAAGATTGTTTAACATTATATGCACTCAGATGCTCCTGAGACTGTGGGGCTCCACTCCTGAATCACAACTCCATTATCCTACAGAACGTTCCCAAAGTTCACGTCACACACACACACACACACACACACGCATTTTCTCCTCATTTTCTTGGTACCCAATGCTTTGTCTAGAATAGACACATTTTACACTATTTTTAATATAGTAATAGATTCTATAAAATACACCAAATCTGTCCTTTAATTAAGAAATGTCTTGAATCCACCCAATATATACCAACCATTTGTTACACTCCAGGGACCCAGAATCAATGCCTGTGTCCTGGGGCCTTGTAATCATCGTATGACATGTACCTATATCAAATCATCATGTTGAATGCTTCACATTTATGCCATTTTTTTTGTCAATTATTCCTCAAAAAATCTGGGACAAACACGAAGCCTTAAGCAGTGCACAGTGGGTGAGATACACTGGTGGTGAAGAGGTAAGGACAATCCGGCAAACACACTGGCTGCGTGTGCAGAGAGGGCTGGGAGGGTGGTAGCAAAAGCTCCTAAGAAAATCAACGCATTCTTCAAGGGAAGGAGAGAACTATGAGCAAAAAGGCAGGAGAGAGGCGGACATTCCTGACTGAGGATCAGCATAATGGCAAAAATAACAAATGGAGGCCGCTTACAGTTCCTGAGGGCTCAGAAGGAAACAGTTTCAAGTGAGGTCATCGGAAATAAGACATACTCACGTCTTAATTATTAACTCGCTTTCTCCTCCTCCAAAGCATGAGATGGCTCCTAGTATTCCCCCATTATACGGACAAGTACACTGAGGCATGGAGAGGATAAGTGAAACAGGAAATGGGTGGCAGAGTCAGGATTCGAGCCCCGCAATAGAGCTCTAAGGCTCGCAGGCTTACCAGCCTGCACCAGTGGCTCCCACAGTGAGCGCAGAACCGCGGCACCAGCAGCCCCTGACAACTTGCTACCAGATCTTGGGCCTCACCCCAGGGCTGCTGGGATGCAGCACGCTGAGTTCATCAAGCCTTCCTCACGATCCCGGTGCCTGCTAAGGTTGGAGAACCCTTGCTTGACACCATTAGCATCCAGCAGACAGACGGCTTAGTCAGAGGGGTAGGAATGGGGTGAAGAGAAGTCAAAGTCGGGGTTGGGGGGAGTTGCTGCATGCCCTGAAGGTCCGTAAGGAGGTTGGGCTTTATTCTGTAGCACTGGGGGAGGGAGAAAGGGGAAGCGGGGAAGTGGCCCAGTCAAGCACTGTTCTTTGAGACAAAGTCTCTGGCATCAGTGCCAGCAATGACCTGGAAGTGAGAGCGGACAGAGGACGGAGCTCAGGTAAGAGGCTGATGCAGCAAAGGGGCCACAGTGCAGAGAGGGGAGGCACGGGGCAGCCCGGGACACCTGTGGAGCAGGGTCCACTGAGCTGGCAGGGTATCCTGAATGACTCATGGTTTATAGCTTCAGCGATAAGGTAGATGGTGAAACTCTTAGCCAGGAGGAGAGAGTTTGTCCACGGAACATCAGCATAAAGGGATTGAGAAGCAGCTGTGCTCAGGAGTGGAGTCAGGGATGGGCACACAGGTTTGGGATTCACCAACTTAAACACAAGGTTTGAAGCCATCGCTCTAATGAAGGCTGCTCCCAGACTGTGGGAGAAAAAAGAAGGCTGGAATAATGCAGGACTCTGCTATGTAAGGGAAGCTCAGAACAAGTCAGCCAAGGGGGTCCAGCAGGTAGAGAGACAGAAAAAAAAGGAAATAACCATGTCTTAGAATCGAAGGATCAGCGTGCTGGAGAATGCCTAAAGAAAGAGAGGACTGACAGCAGTCTCCAGTGCGGTAGAGGTGTCGCCTATTGAGACTGAGAAGAAACACTGGACTTGGCAATGCGGAAGTCACAGATACATTCAGCAACAGCAGTGCCAGTGGAGGGATGGGAGCAGAGGCAGGTTCACGCATGGATTTGTTCTCTGCATGAGAAGCGCTGACCACACACCAGGTTTTATGGGTGTTAGGGATAAAGTGATGAACAGAACGGACTTGAATCCAGCCCTTAGCAGGTAACGGGAAAGACAGAAAATGAACAGAAATTACACAAGTAATTATGGGATCCCAATGGAGACATGGAACCTGATGAAGACATACCAAGGACTTTGGGACATGTAGAGCCACAAAAGTAACCTGGATGACGAGAGCAAGAAAAAACATTGCAGCTGAGTCCACAGCAAGAGGAGGAGTGAGCCAAGGAGTGGGGGTTGGAGCGCATCCCAGGGAGAAGGACCGGCAGGTGCAAACAGCCGCGGGCAGGAGGAACAGAAGGAATCCACAGTGGCTAGAACCTCCTAATGCAGAAGAGAGTGGCAGGAACTAAGGAACAGGGGATTATGGGCCACTTTAGAGATTTGGGACTTTATCCCGTGGAGTCTCAGGAAATCGCTGGAGTTAGCACTTAAAAAAGGTTAGAAGAAATGATAGAATTTGCATTTTTATTTATTTTTTTTAAGAACCTGAAGGACTACTTATGTGTAGTGTTCTTTTTTAAAATTTATTTATTTGACAGGTAGAGTTACAGACAGTGAGAGAGAGAGAGAGAGAGAGAGAGAAAGGTCTTCCTTCTGTTGGTTCACCACCACCACCCCCCAATGGCCTCCACAGCCCGAAGCCAGGAGACAGGTGCTTCCTCCTGGTCTCCCATGCAGGTGCAGGGACCCAAGCCCTTGGGCCATCCTCCACTGCCCTCCCGGGCCACAGCAGAGAGCTGGACTGGAAGAGGAGCAACCGGGACTAGAACCTGGCACCCATATGGGATGCTGGCGCAGCAGGCGGAGGATTAGCCAAGTGAGCCATGGCACGGGCCCACAATTTGCATTTTTAAAAGGAGACTTTGGCTACTTTAGAGAATGAATCTAGGAGGAGGGGATAGGGAGTGGACCCATGGAGGTCAGTTAGGAAAACAGTACAGTTTAGGCAAGAGAGAGTGACGGGTGGGGACCACAGCGCTCACAACGTAAATGGGAACAAGCAAACAGATTCCAGAGCACTTCAGAAGGCGGGATCAAGAGGACCGGGCAGCAGACTGGAAGTGGCAGTGGGCAGGAGAGGTTTACATGGACTCTTGGTGGTCCCCTCTCCATCTGTTCTTGGCTATTCCCACAGGACCACTGGGAGAGAGAAACATGTAGCCTCCGCATTCCAAGAGACCAAGGCCAAGTTCTACTTGCCAGGGCTCCAGTCTGCCACAGAGATGAGACCCACAGAGCCTTGCTCTCCTAAGGGGCTGCTAATCCCTGAGAGATAAACTGACTCCTTCTATGAAGGCCTCTTGGAAACCTCCTCATCATGTTTGGTTGCACGACTTCCGGTGTTAGACCGGCCTCGGATCGAACTCGATTGACTCAGTGAGAGACTTTGGTGATGCAAAAGCAAAGAGGCTTATTGAACAAGCTGGAGCCAGGGTCCACGCCGCCTACTGACGAGGACCCCTCCCGGTTCTCCTGCGGGGTCTATACGCATTTTGGGTTCAACAGGATGTACATTCTTGTGGTTCTGGGTTACAACGGCAGACACACAGTATCACTGATTTGTTGGTTTTCGATTGGCCGGGGCCAGCTGCAGGGCTGGGGGAGGAGGGGTGGTTTAGCTGCTCTCTTACTGGTCTTTCCCGTGTCACGGTATTTCTCAGAAACCTGACCCGGGACTTCTGAGAAAACAAAACTGAGGCCTGTCCCTCTGGGCGACTTCCGAGGCCTGTCATGGCGTCACTTTGGTTCTTCATTTCCCCTGTTCTTCTGTGCCTGCGCACTCCTGCACAGGCTCGAGACACGTCAGCAGTTGTCGCAAGCGCCTGCTGTCACGCAGCTCGACAGGGCTTAGAGCGACGTACGCTCTGTTGTGCCGGAGCACGGGGAAGAAAGGAACACAAGGACACAAGACTGCCTTTTTTGATGAAAGATTTTATTGCTTACACACCAGGTTTTTTTTTTTTTTTTATCACACTACTCATCAGCATGCTCATTGAGGTCAATACACTTATCAGTATCAATATACTTATCAATCTATACTATTTAACACACTTATCTATAAACTTAGCACAACTACTTAATGTGACTTAACAACTTAGCTACTTAGCTTAACATAACTACTTAGCTTAACTACTTATCTTACTTACTATAATAGCACTTAACTATCAGAGTAACACTATTTCCTTAATGACTAGAGGACTACTGGAATCAATACCATCAATACCACTATTAATAATACTATTTGAACTGATTAACCGACAGATCACAGTATACAGTGTTAAAGTAACTTTGAGGACTATCCAATTATAATAGTATATGTGCATCAAGGTCTCCAGCATTATTTGCAGATACCTTGCATAAGGTCAAAACATAGGGTCAAAGCATAGTTAGATTAGATTACACATGACTAACACTACTTGTAAAAGCTGTGTTTTCAAGGCTCGCATCACGGTCATGAAAGAGTGTCAGTGTTCGATGTCCAGAGCTCAACGTCTCGGCAGAGACGGATGTCAGATCAGTCACTTACAGGCGGCAACTTGTGGGAAGGCTGTCACTCTGGGCAGTAGGCTCAAAGTTCCCAGGCGGACGGCCAGGCGAGAAGTTGGAGAGGTTCCCTGCTGAGAGGCCTGGTCCGGCTTTGTGGTCAGGTCTGGCAGCAGGCTGATGAGGACTCCAGGCCAGGCGGTGAGGCGGCCTCTCGGCTGGAGTTCGGATCCCGTGGTCTCCTTGTGTCGCTTAGCAAGGGGGCTAGCGAGCTGGCTCTCCAGCTCCAAGTGCGAGGAGATCCAGAGGTTCACACGCACTGGGCCCTTTGTCCGTTGTCGGCTTGTGCCACTATCTGCTCCGTGCAGAGTAACGGGCTGCCTCTTCAGCTCCCGCTGTGTGGAGATCTAGAGGTTCACACACACCTGGAGAGGATGGAGAGCACCACAAGACTCCCTTTTCATCCTAATTTTTTCCTGCAGCTCACCTGCTGTTCACGTGCTGTCCACGCTTGACTCAGTCCAATCAGCTCAGAGTTCCCCGAGGTGTCACCAATCCGTTGTCTGGGCTTGGGTGTCTCCCGCTCACATCCAATCCTCGTGAGAATTGGTGAGGTGACTCCAGCTATCACCCATAGGACACACAGCTTATCAGGCTGTCCAGAGATGTCTGTCCAGTCTGATGAGGGGCATTTTTCTAGCACGTGCTAAGGTTGACATGGGTGATGTCATCAGCTCCTGGCTTAGCATGAGTAACTCCATTTTCTCCTACTTTCACTTTGTGGCTAGTGGCAGGTTTTGACTCTAGATGTTTTCCTGTGGAGTTTCCACAGTTCACCTTCTGCTGGTCAGGTAAGTGGTGATCTGTGACTCTTGGGACTTCCTGTGGGATTCTCCACAGCAGTATCATCTCGCCTCAAGGGTCGGTACTGCTGCCTGAGTACCATTAATTGGACCGTGTTTAGTCGGTCCTTAGTGAAGGCTGCTAACTTATTCAGAATGCATGGTCCAAAAGTTAAGATCAGCACTAAAAATATCCGCGGGCCCAGGAGCGTAGACACCAGTGTTGTTAGCCAAGGTGAGCTACTGAACCAAGACTCAAACCACCCTTCCTGTTGTTCTCTAAGTTTTTTTCTTTTAGCCAGCCCTTCCCGATCCTTAGTCATGGATTCCCTCCCGACTCCCGTGTGGTCCGCATAAAAACAACATTCTTCTCTGAGGGCTGCACATAGGCCTCCTTGCTGAAGGAAAAGTAAATCTAGCCCTCTTCTAGTTTGTAAAACCACTTCGGCCAGGGATGTGAGGGACTTTTCTAAATGTGAGATGGAGGTCTCAATTCTTTCTACATCTACATCTATAGCTGCTCTCAAGCCAGAATAGTATTGGCTTTGTTGGGTCAGGGAAGCAATCCCAGTACCCGTCCCTGCCAGCCCTAATCCGAAAGGAGTGGTTATAGTGACAGAGGTAAAAATTTCCCTTTTTTTTTTACCCAACTTGTTGTTTGCTCTCTAATTTATTGTATATTTCATCTTCTGGGTGATACAGGATTTTGGGAAATACTTGAACCAATATTCCTTTGACTCATTGGCTACCTTGCCGCTAAAACAGAGAGTGAGTCCCAACTTAGAGCATGCCCACCAGCTATTGTCTGGGGGTAGAAAATACCCCTCCTGATCAATGGGTTGGGACTGGTTGCAAAGGAAGTTCCGATCTTTGACCTGACCCAGGCACAGTCCCTTCCCGGTGACTGATTGCACTGTAAGTCCCTTTTGGACTTTCTGTTCCCACCGACATTTTTGTGGATCCTGGGTGACATTATACTCCCCTGTGACTCCCACAGCCTCATAAAAGGGTAGTTGCATGTCCTAACAAAGCCAGCATGCTTGGGTTGCTTTAGGGTTAGTGGCGTTAAGCACTAGATAGGCTGAGGTCAGTAGGCCCCACAAAGGGTGGGTGTAAGTACATCAGTGGTGGTGTTTAGTAGGGGTTCAGGTGTTTGTGTTGCGGCCGGGGAGGGTCAAGGTTTTTGCTTATTTATTTTGCCTGACCCTCCGGGGTGGGTTTCAGCGCCTTGTTGGGGCCCATGGCTTCTGGGGTCCTCCGTACCGGATACCTCTGAATGGTGAACAGCCCTCCCCTGTCAGTCCCTTCCTCATAATATCTTAGTCCCCATGTTCTCCCATAGTCCCACTTGCTATCCATAGGGTTAGTTACATTGATTTGGATTTTCTGGCACAGTTGGTGGCTGGCTACCCCATGGTTTTGTGTCACTGCATTACTTCCGAAAGGATACAGAGGGATACAATTTTCCGGCCACCACTGTACTTTGATATCTGGGTCCTTTCCTGTCCCCTCTATCCAGAGAGGTGCTATTGTCTCACACCCCCAGGAAGGACAGTAATACTGATTAGAGTAATCACAATACGATCGTCCTTTCGCAGGGCACACATAGAATCCGATAGCATTCAAGCAGGGGCTGATGGGGACTAGCTCACAGAGGGTCGTTACGAACAATGAAGAAGCTGGATCTCCAATCGGTCCCTCTTGGGCTCTTATTACCTGGCCGTGCTCAGACCTTCGTAGCTGCCATCGGTATGAATGGTGGCTGTTGGCCAGTTCTTCCGCTATTAGCTCTTTGATGCACAGGCACCAGGCGATTGCGAAGGCAACAAGCAGATTCATGTTCCCCGTCTAGGTGGATCTTCAGGGGATTGGTGGGATTCGCTTCCGCTTTCCACTGTTCGGGCTGAATTGTCAGCAGATCCTTTTGGGCCACCCGTTGAGTGTGGCTGGCGTGGATCCACGCTGCGATCCCGTCAACCTTTAGGGCAGTGGGGTAACAAGTATTACTTGGTATGGGCCCTTCCATCTGGGTTCTAAGGTTTTTATTTGGTGTCTCCTGATCCAGCCCCAGTCCCCTGGGTTGAGACCATGGGGCTGTGGAATTTTGTTACCCCTGTCTTCATATATTTTCCTGATGGCTGGCCAGACTTCAGCGTGAACTTTCTGGATGTTTTGAATTGCCACGCCCAAGCCCCCAGTATCCGCGTACTCCCCCTCCCAACATGGGCGGGGTGGGGGGATATAATGGACAGCGGCCGATCATACAAAATCTCATAGGGGGTGAGCTGAAGCACATATGGGGTGTTCCGTGCCCTAATTAGGGCGAAGGGAAGGAGGGCCAGCCAGTCTCCGCCAGTCTCTATGGCCAATTTGGTTAAAGTCTCCTTGAAGGTTATATTCATTCTTTCTACCTGTCCAGAGCTCTGGGGGTTGTATGCACAATGTAACTTCCAATTTGTCCCCAGGGCCTGGGTGAGCCCCTACACTATCTGGGCAACCAAAGCCGGCCCATTGTCTGACCCAATGACTAGGAGCTCCATTACCTAAGGATGACTTCTTCCAGTAACACTTTGGCTACTGTTCCAGCAGTTTCCTTTTTCGTGGGGAATGCTTCTACCCACCCAGGGAACGTGTCCGCAAGCACCAACATATACCGACACCTATCCAGGCCCGGCCTTACTCGGTGAAGTCTATTTTGGACATTTCCGGGCCCAGTGTCCTTTTTCTTTGCAATAGACGCATTGAACCTTAGCCAGGCACCCCGTCGGGGGTTTCCCACGTCCTTTTCTGTCTATCATTTGGGTGAACGACGGCCATTAACATCTGTGCCATTGCTCGGGCTTGCCTTTCTCCTTCCGCTGCCCCTTCTTTTTTATCTTCCGCCCTGAGTCTGTCTTCTCTCTCTTCTGGAGTTTCCCTGGTGTTATAAACGTTTTCTGCCACCTGCAACAGGTCTGGTAGGGTTTTCTCACCTGGCCTGTCTACCTTGTGCAACTTGTGCCTTCTCTCTGGTGCCGCTTGACTAATAAATGCCATGATGATTGCGGCCCTCGTCTCTGGCGCCTCAAGATCCATGGGAGTGTACTGTCTAAAACCCTCCATGATCCCTTCTAGGAACGCTGCTGGGCTTTCCTCTGCCGGCTGTCGGATATCCCCTACCTTTGCCATACTGGTCGGCTATCTAGCCGCCGCTCAGAGACCGGCCATCAGAGTCTGGTGGTAGACCCGGAGACACCCCCTACCTTCAGCCATATTATAGTCCTACTATGGTCTCCTTAAAGGGAAGACGCGTGTGATGATATCAGGGTTCAGAGTAGGGCGACCGTCTGGCCCCGGGACCACTTGCGGGCTTCCAGTTGTATGGGCTCCCGTTCCTTGGTGGTAATGAGGACCCGGAGGAGTTGCTGACAATCCTCCCACGTTGGCTCGTGGGCAAACAGAATAGAATCTAACAGGTTAATTAAGTCTTTAGGGTTATCAGAGAAAGGGGAATTTTGAGCCTTCCAGTTATAAAGATCAGAAGTAGAGAAGGGCCAGTACTGGAGAGGCTGTAATCCATCTTGATCTACCGGGCCATATGTCCGTAATGGCAGGACAACGGGGTCAGGGGCCATGGGCTGGGATGAGGTTGCTCCTCTCTTCCCTGCCTCCTGACTCCGAGTGCAGGAGGCTGGCCCATCTGGATGTTCAGGGGGCAATGGGCCCCCCTCGTTACGCTGTTTCATAAGAGGGGGTTCCAAGACCTCAAGAAATATCAAACTGGGTAAGAGGACTCGGGGAGGACTGGGGCTGAGGGTTCTTTCTTAGGCTAGGTCCTGCCCACATCCTTCGCTGGGAGAACTTTGGTAGGGTTTTTGGGTTTTGATGGAAAAATGGCGCCTCTATCAAATTCTGCCACACTAGAATACAAGGAATCTGGTCTGGATGTCCACATGGTCCGGAATCAAAGACTACATCCTTCACCATCCCAGGCCGAATGTTGGCCACTCAACACTACAACATGTGATGAGTTTTTCCTTCCAAATCTCAAGGGACAAGTTGTGGGCACGTCCACAGACGTCTCGGAAATGATCCGTACAAAGAGTCAAAGGGGTCGTCTGCATCTGCCCATTCCTGTAATGAAGATTAAGAGTCCGTAGACCACAAAAAGCAACAAACAAGAAAAGCCAACAAACACGACAGACAGAAGATAGACAGACTTCGGCCGAGAAAAACAAAAACACCAAACCAGCACCCGGACTAACCATCAGGCTATTGTTCCCCCTCCCAAACGGCTGCCACCGTCGGCGGGAACTCCCGAGGAGACTGGGGACATCTCCCTCGGCCTCCAGCCGGCGACCCTCCAGTGCGTCCACCTAGGTCCTCTGCCAGCTATTTATCCTGGGCCCGCTACAGAGTTTCCGTACAGTTTTAGGAAACCTCAGCACCGCGTCTCTCACCGAGTCTCTAAGTCCGATCCCGGACGAACTCCCAAAATGTTAGACCGGCCTCGGATAGAACTCGATTAACTCAGTGAGAGACTTTGGTGATGCAAAAGCAAAGAGGCTTATTGAACAAGCTGGAGCCAGGGTCCACGCCGCCTACTGACGAGGACCCCTCCCGGTTCTCCTGCGGGGTCTATACGCATTTTGGGTTCAACAGGATGTACATTCTTGTGGTTCTGGGTTACAACGGCAGACACACAGTATCACTGATTTGTCGGTTTTCGATTGGCCGGGGCCAGCTGCAGGGCTGGGGGAGGAGGGGTGGTTTAGCTGCTCTCTTACTGGTCTTTCCCATGTCACGGTATTTCTCAGAAACCTGACCCGGGACTTCTGAGAAAACAAAACTGAGGCCTTGTCCCTCTGGGCGACTTCCGAGGCCTGTCATGGCGTCACTTTGGTTCTTCACCGGTGTCTGGTCCGGTGGGGTGGGGTGCCAAGCACAGACCACCCGGCTGGGCAAGCCACACTGTGGGTGGCTTCTCAGCAAGACAGCTCAAGCGCCTTGCAGCTACTTCCTATAGTGCCTTTAGTATCATGTGGACGATTCTAGGTCCCTAAATGTCAACCTCCCTACTTTTCCTCTCACCATGTTATCACTTTTAAATAAACTTTTATTTCCATCATGACAGCAGGCAGCAAGCTAAGTACTTAGATTGACTCTCCCACTGAAAATATTGACAGTTTTTTAAAAAAATATTTAAAAAGAACATTTCTAAAAGTATTGATGAGGTGGCCGGGGACCTCTTCAGCTGGTGAATGATGTATTTAGAGAAATTAAAGACAAACCTGAGAATATGTGCAGGGAGCAAAAATTCATGAGGGAAAACTGAGAAGACGGGAGAAAGCAGACAAAGAGTTTTTAGAAATAAAAAATAAATAACTAAAATGACAGACTGTGGGCAGACTTAATAGCATATCAGATACAGAAAGAAACAGGGAGCTGGAAGCTAGGTCAAAAATAAATGAACCTGGGGCCTGCGCTGTGGCACAGCCGGTTAAAGCCCCAGCCTGCAACGCCAGCATCCCATGTGGGTACCGGTTCAAGTCCCAGCTGCTCCACTTCTGATCCAGCTCTCTTCTATGGCCTGGGAAAGCAGCAGAAGATGGCCCAAGTCCTTGGGTCCCTGCAACTGCGTGGGAGACCTGGAAGAAGCTCCTGGCTCCTGGCTTCAGATCAGCTCAGCTCTGGCCATTGCAGTCATTTGGGGAGTGAACCAGCAGATCGAAGACCTCTCTCTCTGGCTCTACTTCTATCTGTAACTTTGTCTTTCAAATAAAAAAAAAATAATTCTTTTATTTATTTGAGTGAATGAATGAGTGAATGAATGAACCGGGGCTGGTGTTGTGGCAGAGTAGGTAAAGCCACTGCCTGCAACACTGGCATCCCATATGGATGCCGGTGCAAGTCCCGACTGATCTACTTCCTCCCATCCAGCTCCCTGATAATGGCTAGGGAAGGAAGCGGAGGATGGCCCAAGTGTTTGGGTCCCTGCCACCCATGTGGGAGACTGGAGGAACACCCGGCTCCTAGGTTAGGTCTGGCCCAGCCCTGGCCATTGTGGCTACCTGGAGTGAACTAGCAAATGGAAGATCTCTCTCTCTCTCTGTCTCTGTCTCTCTCTCTCTGTGTGTGTGTAACTCTTTCAATTAAATAAATAAATCTTTTTTTTAAAAAAAAAAGCAAAATGTAGCATAGAAAAATAAAGATAAAAACATCAAAGAGAATTTAAGATACATGAAATATAGACTCAGACGTGTCTTTTTCTAGTAGAAAGAGGAGAGAAGAGGAGGAGGGAAAAGAGGGATGGTAGGGGAGACGAGAGGGGAGGGGAGGAGAAGAGAGGAGAGAAAAGAAAGAGAAAATTAAATAGATGATGGCTAAGAATTTTCCAAAAATCATGAAAGACGTCAAGACACACATTCAGGAATCCCAAAAAGAAGAAACAAAAAGACATCCATAACCAAACACGTCTCAGACTGCAGAACACTAAAGGCAAAAAGAATATCTTAAAAATGGCAAAAGCACCAGACCAGTTACCTTCAAGTGATTAACAGGCTGGCTTCATATGAGCCAGGACCAGGCCAGAAGACAATGGTAAAATACCTTCAAAGTGCTAAAAGAAAATAGCTGTCGTCCGATAATTCTATACTTAAATAAAATATCCTTTAAGAATAAGAGGAAAAGAAGGCTGGCATGTGGTACAGTGGGTTAAGCCACAACCAGCAGAGCAGGCATCCCATACGGGTGCTGGTTCAAGTCCCGGCTGCTCCACTTCTGATGCAGCTCCCTGTTAATGTGCCTGGGGAGGCAGCAGAAGATGGTCCAAATCCTTGGGCTCCTGCACCCACGTGGGATACCCAGGTGAAATTCCAGGCTCCTGGCTTCAGCCTGGCCCAGCCTGGGCTATTGTAGCTATTTAGAAAGTGAACAAATGGAAGATCTCTCTCTCCCTCTCTCTTTCTCATTCTCTTTCTCCTTCTCTTTCTTCCTCTG